GGAGAGAGAGAGAGAGAGAGAGAGAGAGAGGGGGAGAGAGGGGGAGAGAGAGAGAGAGAGAGAGAGAGAGAGAGAGAGAGGGAGAGAGAGAGAGGGAGAGAGAGGGAGAGAGAGAGAGAGAGAGAGAGAGAGAGGGGGAGAGAGGGGGAGAGAGAGAGAGCCAGTTAGAGAGAGAGAGAGAGAGAGAGAGAGAGGGAGAGAGAGAGAGAGAGAGAACCCAACTCTTTCAAAACCACTGTTGGGGCTACAATCAGAGAGTCTGATTTAGTATCAAGTTTATAAAACAATGTACAAATTTGTAGATCAGTTTTGCTAACTGTGTGCACCATGGGTTGTGTCAGCAAAATATCAGACCCAATCCATTTAGTGTGTTTGCCTTTGCCTGTGTATGCAGAATATGATGATTATCAGAACACTTAAATAATTGAGAGGATATGCAAATCTGATTATTTAGCATCCACAGTCTGAACTTAATGTTATTGTGAGGAGAAGGAAGCATAGGTACAATAACAGACGACGGAGAGAGAAAAGTTATATCATCTATCCAGCAATGTCCTTTTTGAGCTGCTGGAAGACCTAAGAGCCAGTTTGGAGCCCGTCACAAGAAGAAGCCATGTCTCCTATGAAAACACTCCTGCAGCACTTCATTTTCTTCCATCTGATCTTTGCCTCGTCCACTAAGGCCTCCAACTCCATGCTTCAAACTTCCTTTTTCTTTTATGACCACTCTGCTCTGTCAAACTCTCCATGGCGACAGCCAGTAGCTTGTACAATCCTCATTTCAATAGAGCAGTCGCACCAGTTTTGCACCTGTAATCATTTACGTACAATATCTTGGATCACTGGCAACACGCCCACTACTAGCACATACTTTTTTTTTTAGTTTACACACACAGTTCAGTGCTTGTTATTTGAGATTTTAGTAGATCAGGCCCAGAGTATGTCAGCTTTTTTATGTGAAAACAAAAAAGAGAGAGACCCAGAACAGCGATCCTGTGTCAGTACAACAGCAGACTGGTCTGAAGTCTCCAGTGATAAGATAAGAAAAAAGATGGAGACTTCAGACCAGTCTGATGTTGTACTGACACAGACTGGTCTGAAGTCTCCAGTGATAAGATAAGAAAGAGATGGAACACAGCACAATTCTAACTTTGCTTCATTGAAACAGCAACAGCAGAGGAACCCCTCGGCCTAAAACGGTCAGAAAAACAAACTGCAAAGGTAAAGACATACGCTGAACAGGACAAATGACTATGGGATGAAATAAGCTAGTTTAAAAAATGTGGTGAAAAAGTTTTTAAAAATCAACAACACGTCTTGACACTTTATTTTGCATTAAAATATTACTAATATTGTAGAGAAAATGCTATGCTTATAAGTTTTGTTTTGTTAGCAGGCAGTACTGTGACATTGTAGGACGGAGGAGACTGTGTTATTTTTTTTTCAACAAATCTAACAGTGTCAGTGGAGACTTTTGGAGACTTTGGGGTCTGTACTTTCCTCAGGGAGCAGCGAGTGGTCCCGTGAATCCACCCCCAAATCCAAAGCACAGACAAGCTGTCACTGAAGCCTCGCAAAGCAACCTCAGCTGCAGTCAGAGCAGAGAAGAGACCCGCTCAGTAGACGCTGCTGCTGCCCTGGTCTATAAAGCAGAATATAATTTTACTGGACTGTTTTATTCACTCCCACTGTCTCACTAAAATAAATCCCTGGAAATGCTGATCTGACTCACTTGTCTACCAAGTGTGTCTCTGTGACATCTAATAGTATCTTGGTGAAAGGGGAAATATTATGTGTTTCTCAGGCATATATTAAAATTCTATACCATAATAAAGTAACTGTTGCCTTCAGTTGTTACTAAAATGCTGTTTATTTGTTTAAATAGAAAATAAACTTGGCTTCTCATCATATTTGTTTCTAAACGCCTTGAATTTGGTCTCTGTCTCTTTAATGAACCTCCTTCCACTTCTGTCCCGCCCATTTCAGCACGAGCCGGGTGGGTGGGTGTGATCTGTGATGAGGAAGCTCGGATTGGAGACAGAGTCCAGAGGAGGAGCTGATCCCAAAAGGCGGTTCTAGTCCCAACCGTTTGTTTTTGCTCCCCTGCCTGGCTGCCTCAGGACACTACAGGATTTCTCAAACATGCATGAATGAGTCAAAGCAAGATTCTGGGCATGTTTTTGATAAGAGGATAACATTATAACCTGATATAAAACTCATAAAAGTTTATTTTACATGATATTGCCCCTTTAAATTTGGTATTCTTACAAAATTTATAAATGCAATGTGGATCTGTTTCCTGTTTTTCGCTCCTACCCAAACACACTAACGCCAGAGCGCAGAGTGACAGAGACGCGAGTGGCGAGACAGAGTGACAATGAGTTGCAGTAAGTGAAAAAATATGGTGAAAAACTATTAAAAAACTGTGGGAGAAAGAAAGCGCTCTGAAAGGCTGGATACAACTTCAGATGGGAGATGTCTCGAAGACATTCTGCCGATTCTGCAAGGGTGAAATACGTGCTCACCGTGATGATTTATTTCAGCACGTTAATGCAGAGAAGCACTTAAACAATAAATAAATAAACAAATAAATAAATAAAAGCATACATCTTTCTCTTCCACAAGGCTAACAAACACGGGTGTTTCACTGACACAAAACACAAGACAAAACAAAGAAATGATCCTTCTTGGTGAACTAATTAGATCCACTTTGATTGACAGCGAGATCAAAGAATTTAAGTTGTAAAAAATATTTATGGTAAAAGTGTTCAGCTTACTTTTGCTATTGCTGATGGATAATGCAATAGTAAATGTACGTGTACATGTAATACAGTAGGCTTATAGTATTTTGTCATGCTATTATGCATAAATAAATACAGTAAACGTAATTTAGGACGCACCACACAGACACATGCTATCTGAATGCAGTGTGAATGCAGAAGAGAACGAGTTTAGTGGTTTAAATGAAGAACTGAAAAACTGTGGTTTTACTCAGTAACTGTATAGCGTATAAAGGTTGCTTCAACGCTCTTCAGATTCAGCTCTCGCTTCCTGCTTTTTGGGTTGGCTGACAGTCAAATTTACACTGTGCTTCTTCCTGTTCAACTAGAGGCCATTATCCTGCAAGTTTTACTTGTTTCTCTGCTGCAACACACCTGATTTGCATGAAAGGAATATTATTTTAAGGCTTGTGCATACTTGAAAGTAATTCAGTCACTAAGTTGGAGGAAAACAAGTAAAACATGCTGATCCTGGAGGATTAGACACCTGTCCTATTTCTTTTTTTTTAATTTTTAGTAGCCTTTGTGTGTGTTATTCAGCGGGGATTTTCTTTCACTGGGTCACAAGAGACACATGTTGTTATAAAAAGAAAACAACACTGAATTCAGATAAATGTACAGTGGCTATGTCTGATTGAGCAGTTCACTAAAACAATTAGCAGTTTCTGATAAGGGCAGTTAACAATGGCTGCATCTCCTCAGGCCCCGCCCCCTCCCCATAAAAAAGGTACTGTTTCATATCTGTCCTAATATA